CTTGAGCCCGGGAGTTGGAGGTTGCTGTGAGCGTGATGCCATGGCACTCTACCCAGGGGGATAGCTTGAGGCTCCGTCTCAAAAAAAAAAAAATGTTCCATATTTTTATCTGAATCCACACACACAAAAAAGGGACCCTCGTTGGTCCCTCTGCATTTCCACAGCCAAGCAGAGTGCACAGGAGCAAGGTGTATCTGCTACTCAGCAGTTGCGACCTGGGCCCCTGCTGCTCACACGTGATTGCCTTTCCCCAGAGGATGCATCTGAGTAGCAAGAGCCTGGACACTAGAGGGGACGGTCGTGTCTGTCATCCTGCTGTTTCCTCCCAGTTAGGTGGCTTTGGGCCAATCTCTGAGTCATCTGTGAAATGAGTGTGGGAATTCCCACCTTCTAGCAGCTGTGAGCCTGAGTGAACTAAGGTGCATGGCTTCTGTCCTGGGACAGGCCATGAGAACCCCCTGCCCACACCATGGTCAGAGAAGCACTCACCATGTCCACCTCTGAGATGCTGTCCAGGCTTTCCACTTGTACGTCCACACCAACAGGAATGGCAGGGCCTGGGTACAGAGCACGACCAGAGGATTTGTTCTTTATTTGAACTTTACTGTGACAGAAATAGGCAAAAGGAGCCTTTTTCCTGGACCCTCAATGCTATGTCAGACTGAAGGTTTGGTCATGCCAACCTGAAGTCACACCGGAGACGAAAGCATGGATGGAATCATAGGCTGCCTCCCTGAAATATTCCAGCAAAAGGCATTTTGTTTGTTTGTTTGTTTAATTTTAATCATTCTGAAATGATGAAGTTATAGATTTCTGCCTTGTTTATACATACTCACGTAAAGATACAACTGAGGTTGAAGGTTGAAAGCTGGGTCGGGTCTAGGGAGAACTCAGCTTTCTCCTTACTCCACCCACTTTATTTTCTGTATTTCCCCACTGACTATGCACACTCTTTCATCATGGAAGCAGTGGCTCTTGTACGGCCTTGACAAAGGCATTGCATGGTAATGGGCACCCAGGGTCAAAGTCAGATTCAGGTCATTTGCCAAACCCACAGACCTGTCCTTGCCACATGCTGGAGCAGCTGCCCAGGGAGAGATGACACTCTGGGTGGCCTTAAAATCATCTGATTTTTTTTATTGTTGTTTGTCTGTTTAATACTGTTAATGAGTAAGAAAGCATAATAAAAGGAAAAGACTCTTGCCCCCTCTGTCCCTGTGTCAGGCTGAGCATGGAACACCCTCAGATCGCCATGGGGTGAAAGGTGGGCTTGGATCCAGCATCGGCAGACTACAGGCTGGATAGAGATGCCCTTCTGGGCCTGCTTATGCTCTAGGCAAAGATGAGTGGATGAAATAAAAGGCAAGAGAATGATTTTTAAAATAAAAAATTTTTTGCAGTTTTTGGCCAGGGCTAGGTTTGAACCCACCACCTCCAGCACATGGGGCTGGTGCCCCACTCCTTTGAGCCACAGGTGCTGCCCTAAAATAAATATTTTTTCCCAGGAAAATAAACCCATAAGGACAAAAATCCTATTTGACACTAAGAGGGCTGAAACCCAGCAGCTGCAGGCCAAGCTTCAAAGGGCTTTGCCATTCTTTTGCACTAAATCGTTATTTTCTCAAGCTATTTCCATTTAATTAAAACCACACTCTGCTGTCAGATATATGCCCTGAATCCTGTCTGCCAGCTCCCAGAGAACAAATTTAGTGCAAGGTTGTCATTTCAGAGCATTTGCAGGAGGCAGCTTTGGGCTACAGCTGGCCTATCCTCCCCTTGCCCTTCCCACAGCCAGCCAGCTGCTGGCCTTGCTGATCCTGCACCATCCTTGTCCAGAGCAATGGCCTGAGGAAGCTGGCTGGCCCAGTCTGGCACCGTCAGCCTGGGTCTCCTGAGAGTGCACTCAGCAGGGCTGGGTGGGCGGATACCATAGGCTTGGCGCCTCATCCACCAAGCACAGCCAAGGCCGGCTAGAAAAACAGTGAAAGCCGCATGGTCGCTGGGCTTGATTTCCTGTCCACAGACTGACAGAAGGACCTGGGGAACAAAGACCCCTGAGAATGCACGTCTCACCTCCGAAGCCGGGCCTCATACTGAAATCATGGTCGTCTATCCTCAGCAGCTGCTCCGACTTCATCAGAGGCGATTTGGTGATGTCAGGGCTTCGTTTCAGAATTGGGCTGCTGGGGGGAAAAACAGGTGATAACATATTGGCCCAGGCCAGACAGCCCTGCATTCCAACTGCTCTTGGCAGGCTCCAGGGGAGGTCTTCCTTTGCTTTTTAAGCTACGGGATACCCCCTCATTTGCTTAGCTCTCTGGATAAATGAGCTGGCCCAGAAGGTCCTCAAGCATGACTGAGGAGCTCCGAAAATACATTAAATGCTCAGGCCACACCTCAGAGATTCTGATCAGCATGCTTGGAGAATAGGGCCTAGGAATCAGTGTTTGTAAAAGCTTCCTTGATGATTTTAACATGTAACCAAGACTGAGAATGGCTGGTGCCAGTCTTAGTAATAAGCCCCAAACCCCTCAGAGTGCCTTGGCCACTCTGGGGTTTTGAGCTGGAGGGGACAGCTGGTGACAGCGGATGAGCCTGGCGTCGTTGACCCCTGTTAGCCCCTCTGTGGATGAAGATGGATATCCTTCCAGTCAAAGGCCAAACATTGTGCTATAGCTTCAGAATTGCACCTAAGGACATTTTCATCTACTTTCACTTTTTCTAGATAGGTAACATATCTGCATGTTTGATAATTTTTTTTTTAGAGACAGAGTCTAACTTTATTGCCCTCAGTAGAGTGCTGTAGCATCACAGCTCACAGTAACCTCCAACTCCTGGGCTTAGGTGATTCTCTTGCCTCAGCCTCCCAAGTAGCTGGGACTTCAGGTGCCTGCCACAATGCCCAGCTATTTTTTGTTGCAGTTTGGCCAGGACCGGGTTCAAACCTGCTACCCTCGGTGTATGGGGCCAGCACCCTACCCATTGAGCCACAGGCGCCACCCAGATAATTTTTTTTTTTCAGAGAAGTCTCCTTCTGTCACCTAGGCTAGGGTGTTTGGCATCATCACAGCTCACGAAACCTCAAACTCCTGGGCTCAGTGATCCCCCACCTCAGCCTCCTAAGTAATTGGAACTATAGGCTTATGACACCACAGCCAGCTTATTTTTATTTTTTTATTTTTTATCTTTGAGACAGAGCTTCAAGCTGTCACCCTGGGTAGAGTGCTGTGGCATGACAGTTTACAGAACCTCCGACTCCTGGGCTTAAGTAATTCTCTTGCCTCAGTCTCCCAAGTAGCTGGGACTACATGCGCCCCGCCACAATGCCCGGCTATTTTTTTTTTTTTTTTTTTTTAGCTGTAGTTGTCACTGTTGTTTGGCAGACCCAGGCTGTATTTGAACCAGCCAGCTCTCTTGTACATGGCTGGCACCTTAGCCACTTGAGCTACAGGCCCCAAGCCAGCTTATTTTTATTTCTTATAGAAATGGGGTCTTGCTATTGCCCAGGCTGATCCTGATCTCGTAGCCTCAAGCAATCCTCCAACCTCTATCTCTCAAAGTGCTAGGATTACAGGTATGAACAAGCACTGCCTGGCCAGGTATAACTTTTTTTTTTTTAAGGACAGTAAAGACTCTGCCTCTTAGTTCTGCCTTTCTTCATCCCTTCCCTTCCCACAGGTACTTCTCTTAACTGGTTTCTTGTCCATCTGGCCAGGGTTTCTTATAGATACAAGTAAATACACACACACACACACACACACACACACACACATATTACTAGCTCTTCCCTTTCTTTATATATGAAGCTAATGTATTACTTAAACTCTTCTATAACTTTTATTATTGTACCTGCCAGAATTTTTTTCCATGTCAGAGTACCCAGATCTCTTTACATGGCATAGTATTCCACTGCATGGACCCACCATTGTGCATGTGACCAGTCTATTGATGGATGTTTGAGTTATCGCCAGTCTTGTGCTATTATAAGTAGTGCTGCAATGGTCTTGAACATTCTTCTTTCATCTGTCAGCTCCATCTTTAGAATCCACAGAAATAATCAGCAACCTTTCTACCTCATCCTATCCTGACACCAGGGCTGTGTTCTCTCTGGTGTCCACCACCCACACTTCCTTTCCCCAGCGCAGTAGCTCCCAGCCTTTGGCGTGCAAGAGCATCTCCTAGAGCTCTTGTTAAACTTAGACTCCCCAACCTCCCACTGCCCCGCATCTTGGGATTCAGTAGGTCTGGGCTGAGGCCCAGGAATTACATCCCCAACAGATCCCGGCTGCTGCTGCTGCTGCTGCTGGTCAGGAGACAACATTTGGAGAACCACAGCCCAGATGCAGTTTCCTCCCTTCTAACTACTTAACCCCACCCATAAGTTCTTTGCTCTCTTCTTCCTAAAGAGACTCTTCAGCACTGTGGAGGAGATGCTGCCCTGACCTCCACCTGAAATTGCCTGCTGTGTGTCTTTTTTTTTAATTTTTTGAGACAGAGTCTTGCTCTGTCACCCTGGATAGAGTGCTGTGGCATCTCAGCTCACAGCAACCTCAAACTCCTAGGCTCAAGTGATCCTCTTGCCTCAGCCTCCCAGGAGCTGGTACTATAGGCCCCACCAGGTTTTTCTATTTTTAGAGATTGGGTCTCTTGCTTAGGCTGGTCTAGAACTCTTGAGCTCAGGCAATCCATCTGCCTCCCAGAGTGTTGGGATTACAGGCTTGAGCCACCTCGCAGGCAGGCCTCCTAGCATCTTTAGGCACCTTGTTTGTTTTCCTGGGGCTCAGATTCCCCAACTGACAAGAGCTAAAGCTCTGGACTGGGTTGGGGGGAGGATTAATGGGAAAGTACAGAAGTACTTTTACACTGTGCAGTGGTACACAGATGGAAGGCACCATCGCCACTGAGCCGTAGAAGAAGTGTCCTTCTAAAGTGAGGAAGTTACAGTGCTGGTAGCAAAGTGGCCCAGGGAAAGAACTGGAACAGGGAATCTGACTGAGCTGTTGACAGATAAAGAGGGGAAGCCTGGCACATAGAGAGGATAGCCAGTCCTCACTGCCAGGATATCCCCTCTCCCACCCAGCTGGATCCGGGAGCCCCCCTTCCCCTCCGTCTGCTCCTTCTAGGCCCCCCTCCTCTCATCCTCCATCCTCTGCTTCCTGATCCTTGTGAAAGGCTGGGAGATGGGTGGGCACTGGTTACGGTGACCAGACGTCCCACTTTTTAACAATTTGTCCCTCCTCCCCACTGTGTTTTTAAAAAGTCCCGATTTTTGGAAAGAATGCACGAATGGGCAGGAGAACAGGAAGGGAATATACGGTTTTCAGCTGCCATGTGGCTATTTTGCCAGAATATGAATTTTATATTATTTTTGTTAATTTTATAATGTTAAACTGTAATAATTACAAATAATTGTTGAGAAGTGATTATCGAGAACTGCTTATCAAAGTTTGCATTGTTGTCAGGCCCTGCCCCCCCCATGTTGTCCTGCTTTACAAATGTTAAAATCTGGTCACCCTAGCTCTGATGGAAATCAGGAGATCAGCATGGAGGTGAGGGGAGGGAGCACCTGCAGAGCAGAGCTTGGGGAGGGAGTAGGGCAGAGCTTACGTACCTGCCTCGCATGTGGGCGTCTTCATGCACTTCCCGTCTCTGTCTTTGAGGCCTACTATGAAAATAAAAAGCAAAGACACTCTAGAGACAGTCTAGGCATCACATCAACCACATACCCCTCACCCTCCAGATTTGCCTCAAAAGGAAAAGACAAACCAGGAGGCTTCAGGGCACTAATTTAGCCTTCTGATGAGCACCTTCCAAGTACTTACTGGAGCAGAGACTGGGGGATTAATTACTTAGAAGGCCTAATTTAAAGAATTCTGACTTGAAATATATCCCCCACTGGCCTGAAATTGATGCCATTTTCCAGAATGTTCTTAAGGACAAGTACATTTTAACTTTGATCTGCCATAAAATTGTCACTATGGAGATAAACATATTGGGTAAAAGATGCCGCTGATACATTTCTGCCCTCTGGCTTATGAGTTCAGCCAAAGGAGCACTGAGAGGAGGAGGAGGTGGGGAAGGTTAGTTCTCATTCCCACTCTGCTTTGATGCCAGGGACCAGCAATGCCTCTGTTACTCTGATTACAGTGTCTTCAACAAACTCCGGTAATGCTGTTTCCCCTTTCAAACAGCCTGCCATATTGCTTCCATCCTGCCATATCACTACCCACATCTTTTTATTCACTTATCATTAGTTAAGCCCCTTTCAGCATAATACTGTTTTCTCCTAGGATTCAGCTGGTGCATGGGGACACATCAGGATGGATGTATAGGGATTATGTCATCTGCACTAAGTGGAGCAGAGGCAGGTGTGTGCTTGTCAGGAGTGGGTCCCAGCAGTGGGGAAGAGCTAAGGCAGGAGGAAGGGATGCTGTCTGTGCTCCAGGCCATCACAGTGGCCAGTTGGCAATGGCTGTGTGAGGCTGCAGGCTCCAATGGCAGAGTTCCTTCCCTGGTCAGCACTAGCATCAGACATGTTAGCAGGATGACTGAAGGAATCAGCCCCTAAAGATGGGACCTGCAAAGGGAGGGAGATAAGAGGGACTGAAAGAGGGGGATCTGGTCGGAAACAAGCTGGGCACAGTTGGCTTTGGGCCAGCCTGAAACAGAGCAGGACACTGACAAAAGGGAGGCTCATAAGCCTATGAGATGCCACTACCTCTGCCTTCCAGAAGCTTGGATTCTAGCCTAGGGAAGACAGATGGAAAGTATCCTTATCACAGGCAACATCTATTTTACAAAAGTAACCTTAATGTTTTCCTCATTGTTGTTTAATATTTTAAAATAACTTTTTTTGTTTACATGCTTATGTAAAAAGAACTTAGAAAACAGATTAAGCATAAAAGAGAAGATGAAAAACAACTCAGAAATAATCTCTGCCATTCTTCACGTGTACCCTCATAGTTCTCTGAGAGAGAGAAATCATGCTATGTGTAACTTGCTTCTAAACTCAAGTTACACTGTGGTCACAAAAATTAGGGTAAACCCTAAATAACAAAAAGAGGGGAAATGGAATGTTCCTAACTCAAAGAAATGATAAATGTTTAAGGTAACTGGATAGCCCAGTTACCCTGATTGATTAGTACACATTGTAAGCCTGTATCAAAATATCACACACATCCCACACATACATGCAACTAATATGTACCCATAATGATTAAAAATAAAGCATCTTTTTAAAAAAGGGCGGTGCCTGTGGCTCAGCTGGTAGGGCGCTGGCCCCGTATACCAAGGGTGGTGGGCTTAAACCCTGCCCCAGCCAAACTGCAACAACAACAACAACAAAAATAGTCGGGCGTTGTAGCAGGTGCCTTTAGTCCCAGCTACTTGGGAGGCTGAGGCAGGAGACTTGCTTGAGCCCAGGAGTTGGAGGTTGCTGTGAGCTGTGATGCCACGGCACTCTACCCAGGGGGATAGCTTGAGGCTCCGTCTCAAAGAAAAAAAAAAAAAAAAGAAATAGAAGACTCATTTTAGGGAATGTCAAAATACATCAGAAAGCTTCAACAACTGATTAACCAAGCAGAAGAAAGATTATTGGAACTTGAAGACAAAGATTTTGAAGTAACACAGTCAGTAAAAAAATGCAGAAAGTAGGCTCGGCACCTGTAGCACAGTAGTTACGGTGCCAGCCACAAACACCGAAAGTGGAGGATTTGAACCCAGCCCAGGCCAGCTAAATAACTGCAACAACAACGGAAAAATTCAGAAAATAGAATAAAGGATGAACAATCACTAAAAATATATATAGGATTATATAAAGCAAACTAATAAGAATTATAGCTATCCCTCCAGGAGAAGAAAAATCAGTAAGCATGGAAAACCTATTTGAGGGACTGATAGAGGAAAACTTCCCTGAGAAAGCTAGAGGTTTAAATATCCAGATACAAGATAATCTTCAAACACCTGAACATATATACTAAATAGGACATTACCAGGACACAGGATCATCAGCCTGACCAAAGTCAAAGTGAAGAAGAAAATCCTGCAAGCTGCAAGATGAAACCAACATGTTACTTACAAAAGAAAACCCACCAGACTAACAGCAGACCTCTCAGCAGAGACCTTTCAGGCCAGAAGCAACTGGGATCACATTTTAGTTTTTTTACACAGAAAAACTGCTAGCCAAGAATTTTGTATCCTGCAAAACTAAATTTTACAAATGAAGAAGAAATGAAGTATTTCCCAGATAAGCAACCACTAAAAGAATATGTTACCTCTAGACCTGCCTTACAGGAAATGCTTAACAGTTCTCTATATGTGGAAAATAATAATTAATATCCACCAATGTAAAAAACACCCAAGAGGTACAGTTCACAACTCTTTTAAAACAGTAACACAAGGGAGAAAACAAACAAAGCAACCAGGTATCTTTTAATAGGAAAATTACCTTACATAAATACTACAGTATTGATGAACAGGAAAGTTGCCTTACATAAATACTAACACTGAATGTAAACAGTCTTGATGCTCTTTTCAACAGACAGACTGGCTGAATGGATGAAAGAAACACACTCAAAGTATCTGCTGTCTCCAAGAAAGTTGCATGGATAGTCATAGACTCAATGTAAAGGGACGGAAAAAAATATTCCACATGAATGAAAACCAACAGTGAGTGGGAGTAGCTATCTTCATATCAGATAAAATAGACTTTAAATAAATAGCATTTTTAAAAAGACAAAATCATTATAGAATGATGAAGAGAGCAAGTCAGCCAGAAGATATAATGATACTAAATACATATATGCACCCAACACAGGAGCTCCCAGATATGTAAATAAAACACTACTACATCCAGGCAAAGAAATGAACAGCAACACCATAATTGCCAGGGACTTCAACACTCCACTGATAGAACTGAACAGATCACTGAGGCAGAAAATCAACAAAGAAACACTGGACTTACACAGGTCTCTAAAACACATGGGCCTAGCATTTTTCTACAGAACATTCTATCCCCAAACCATAGAACATATATTCTTTTCTTCAGCATATGGGACATTTTCCAAGACAGAGCTTATAAGGTTGGATAATTAAGTTCTGAAACTCAGTCTAGAAAAAGTGCTGCATAGCTCACTACTGAATATCACTGTGGTCACATACAAAGTATTCCCTTTGGGAAGCTGTGCATCATTGCCTGGGCCTCATCCACCCTTCAAAGCAATTTCGGAGTGCTTTTTCTGGAATGGCCATCAGAGCTGTTGTCATATGAAGGTCTAACGATTGAGTTCATAAATCCATCCTAGAAAAAGTGCTCCATAATTCATTGCTGAATATCACTATAGTCACCTTAGAGTTGCTCCCCTTGGCCATCTGGTGACCATAAGGATATTCAGCAATGAGGCATGTAGCACTTTTTCTAGGATGAGTTGAGAACTTAATTATCAGACCTCATACAACAACAACTCAGATGGTCACTCCAGAAAAAGCATTCCAAAATTGCTTTGAAGGGTGGACTAGGCACTGGCATCAGTGCATAGCTTCCCAAGGGGAGTACTTGAAAGGTAACCATAGTGCTATTGAGCCTTTGTTCACACTGAGTTAGCAAACTTAATTATCTGACTTCATACATTAGCCTACAAAACAAACCTCCACAAATTCGAAAAATTAAAGTCATTCCATGTATTATCTCAGATTACAGTGGAATAAAACTAGAAATCAACTCCAAGAGGAACTCTCAAATTTATACAAAGTCATAGAAATTAAACAACCAGCTGTTAAATGATCCTTGGGTTAATGATGAAATTAAGATTGAAATCAAAAGATTTTTCAAACTGGATTACAATCACGATACAAGCATCCCCCAAATCCATGAGATCTAGCAAAAGCAGTGTTAAAAGGAAAATTCAAAAGCCTTAAATGCTTACATCAAAAAGACAGAAAGGGCTCGGCGCCTATAGCTCGACCGGCTAGGGCGCCAGCCACGTACACCTAAGGTGGCGGGTTCGAATCCCCAGCCCAGACCCGCCAAACAACAATGACGGCTGCAACCAAAAAATAGCCGGGCGTTGTGGCGGGCGCCTGTGGTCCCAGCTACTTGGGAGGCGGAGGCAGGAGACTCGCTTGAGCCCAGGAGTTGGAGGTTGCTGTGAGCTGTGATGCCACGGCACTCTACCCAGGGGGACAGCTTGAGGCTCTGTCTAAAAAAAAAAAAAAGACAGAAAGGGCTTGGCGCCCATAGCACAGTGGTTACAGCACCAGCCACATACACTGAGGGTGGTGGGTTCGAACCCAGGCCAGTACAACTAAACAACTGTAACAAAAAAATAGCCAGGTGCCTGTAGCTGCAGCTACTTAGGAGGCTGAGGCAGAGATTGCTTAAGCCTAAGAGTTTGAGGTTGCTATGAGCTGTGATGTCATGGCACTTTACTGAGGGTGACATAATAAGATTCTGTCTCCAAAAAAGAAAAAAAAAAGACAGAAAGATCCCAAATTAACAATGTAATGCCATACCTAAGCAAACTACAAAAAGGAAAACAAACCAAATCCAAGGCTAGCAGAAGAAAAGAAATAACAAAGCTCAGAGCACAACTAAATGAAATGGAAACAAAAAATTACAAAGGGACAACAACAAAAAAGTTGATTCTCTGAAAAGATAAGCAAACT